GCCCCTATGCTTTCTTCCTATCACTAATTTTCATTCATCATCTAGAAGGCCTTGAATTTCTAGGATTACAATAAGTATCTATGATTTCCTGGGCTTATGTGTCTTAAATACATTTTTAAAATACCAGTGGCCACTTAAATGATTTCTATTGCCTTTTCTTAATTAGCTCAAAACTAATAACAAATGAAGCATACTATGTACACAGTGAGGCAGACAGGTATTTAGGGGTATTAAATCCTAACGATTTGGGGTCATTATAATCTCACTAAACAATTTTTAAATGTCTATCAAGAGGAAGTGATTATCTCCATATACATACTGCGCCATTCTGTAGTTTCTTTGGATCAGGCTTCTTTCGCACGGTGGTAAAGCTCCATTCAGGATGAGTATTATTTTCCCTGCTGGTGGATTCCCTAAGGAAATTGCCAAAGATACCCCTATAAATTCCTAAATGATTCACTTTGGTGGAAACACCAAATCAATACAGGTAGAATTGGATGAGATAATTGTCCCAATGTTTAAAAACCCATAATATAAAAAAGTATTTGATCTCAGTTTCAGGTGAATGCTACATTTTATTAAAGAATAGCAGTTGTTCCCAACTCTACGTTGGGACCTTCTACCATATATAAATACCTGTCTCCCACCACTCCCCAGACTGAATTAGGATCTCCAGTAGCATGGCTTGTGATTGCTTTAAAGTTCCTTGGGTGACTCTCATGGGCAGCTAAGGCTAACAACCATTAGAACAGGGTACAAAATATCCTGATACATGTTACCCCTTTCAAAGGTTGGGCAATTTCTGATAAATAAAGGAATCTGAGAGTACTATCTAAAGACATTTGGTGTTCCTTTGTGCCAGTTTAGCTAGTGGAGGAGTAAATTCTGGTGTAGCCTATAGACTTTCCTAGTCTAAATTAAGTTAGGCACTTAGAGGTTGAATTGTTCATATAACTATTGCCATTAAAAAACACCACAGCTTTATCAAGGGGTAAAAATAGTACATAAATGAATATTTAAATGTACCACTCTGATCATGGTTTGGTATGTGGCCAAGAGGTAGGAAAAGCATGGAGGTCAGTTCTCCAGAGGGATTTTGCAAGTTGTCATCAAAGTATGGGAAGACCCAGCTCCTTATTGCTTTGGGCAAACTAATATAACACCCTTAATTGAATCTTATTCCAAAATTTTGTAATATACTCAAGTATCCACTAGGGGTTAGACCGAGACCATTTAAAAGTAGAGCTATTCACTTCCAAGAAAAACATGTTTCCAAATTCATTGTATTCCACAAACTGTGACTGAAAAAGATTTTCACAGTTTCTAAGGTGAAACCTCAGAATATGGTTTATATTTTATGCCAGAACAAGCACATTGGATTATAGCAAAAAGATACGCAATATTAAAATGCGCTACCCACATACAAATTAAATAATTTGTACATACGAATCAGAGCCCTCGGAATCAGATTCATCATCACTGTGCCCTTCTGCCTTCCATCTCTTAAATCGATCTATCAGTTCAGTCAGATAAGAAGTCTTCTTTGAATTTTTTACAATGAATTTGTGTTTCAGAAGTTCTTTAGCCGTAGGACGCTAAGGGAAAAATTAAGGATGCATCACTATTTCTAGACTCTTTATGATTATAAGCGGTGGTAAAAATCATTTGAATTATTAAGCTTAAAGGTATAAAAGTATGTCTATAGACATAAAGACAAAATGCTGTAGGAAAATAGTTAATTCTATTATTGAAGTGGCTCAAGTCAACCAAATTAAAGTTACTACTTTAGTACCCCAATTTGTGGAAGCCTAATGAGCAGAAGCCTAATGTGGAAGCTGGCAAACTGGCAGACAGGGCCTTCTCAAAAGCAGAGAAAAATAGGATTTAGAAAGTGAAGTAAAAATTGAAAAACATTTCACAAAATGCTTTAAAAAACTTTAATTATACTTACTATAAATTGGAAAAACTGATGAAAACTAGCAAGGCTGTAATTTTGTTATTATCTGTCTCTAAATGCAAACACCAGGTGCTGGGGGTGGGGATACCTCCCTTTTATTATAATAATATCAGAAAGTTTGTTATCAACTTAAAATAGTTATATCAAGCTTGGACAGTTCTTGTACATTTCTAGTCTTTAGAAGTCACAAAGCAGCTTTGCTTTGACAACAGTAAACGACTGTAATCAAATTCGCCAAGTAAATGAGTGATGCTCACTAGACTAGGAAAAGTATACAACTTCATGTTGACATTTCTAAACATTAATGTTACCGCTCATAGATGTCTATAAAAAAATAAAGAAATAAAAAAATCATGAAATAAAGGTAGTTAAACATAACTTTCATGAAAAATGAAAACAGTTGAATAAAAACCATTGTATTTATACATATACTTTAATGATAACATAATATAAAATGAACTTTATTTCTTGAATGTCTTTCCCTTTGAAATAGGAAATGATCAACAGAATAAGGAAGAAGCCGGGGACCAAGAAAAAGATGCAGAGAAAAGAGGAAAGGAACTGAGGATCTTGTTAAGAACTGAATAGAATTAGCAATACAGAGGGAAGAACCAGGTTCCTAAATGAATCTTATACAATTTTCACATGCACTGTATTCCCCACTGCAGGAAAAGCTACCTTCATGATAGGTTGATCTAAGAATGGAAAACAAATAGTAGTAATAGCAACATATACTCACAAATGATGGATCTTTGTTCAGGCAAGCATCAATAAACTCCTTAAAAGACTTAGTAAAGTCTCCAACAAGAGTTGGAGGATTGTTTTTTGGAATAAGAAACAGAACTCGCATTGGATGCATATCGGAGTTAGGTGGCTCTCCCTTGGCTAGTTCAATAGCGGTAATTCCCAATGACCAAATGTCAGCCTAAGGTAAGACAAAAAA